TAGGTGTGACATGGACATTAAACATGATCTTTGTTTTGTCCATGTTCATCTTAAGACCTATCCGTTGGGAGACACCATTGAGGTCATTGAGCATAGTGCTAAGGTCCTCCAGCGATTCTGCCGTAAGGACTATATCGTCGGCAAATCGAAGGTGAGTGATGTACTCGCCATTGATGTTAATACCATATCCTTTCCAGTCCAGTAGCTTGAAAACGTCTTCCAACGCAGCGGTGAAGAGTTTCGGGGATATAACATCACCCTGTCTTACACCTCTCTGCAGTTGGATAAGTTTCGAGCTCTGGTTCTGTACTCGGATAGCCATCGTAGCCCTACTGTACAAACACTTCAGCACTTCAATATACCGACAGTCAACTAGGCACCGCTGAAGAGACTGTAGCACCGCCCAAATTTCGACAGAATCAAAGGCTTTCTCGTAGTCCACATACGCAAGGCAAAGTGGCAGATTGTACTCTTCGGACTTCTGTACAATTTGCCGAAGGGTATGTATGTGGTCTATGGTACTGAAGCCTTTTCGGAAACCGGCTTGTTCGGGAGGCTGGAAGTCGTCGAGTCTGCGTGCGAGACGATTCGTAATGACTCGAAAACAGCACGTAGACGCGGCTCAGAAAGGAAATCGGTCTGTAGTTCTTCAAGAGAGCGTTGTCGCCTTTCTTAAAGAACAAGACCACCGCGCTTCTGCTCCACGCCTCCGGAGTAGTGCCACCATGGAGGACGGAATTGAAGAGCTTCTGAAGGACTTCAAGTACCGGTGTTCCACCCGCTTTCAGAAGCTCCGCTGTAATTCCATCCTCGCCCGGGGCCTTGCCGTTTTTAAGGTGGTGGAGAACCATTCTAATCTCGCTCAGACTGACGTCCGGGATATCATCGGAATAGTATCGGATAAGACTTGCTCTTGGATCGTTACTCACACTTGCGTGTGGCTCCAACGATGATGTGTACAGCTGCCCATAGAACCTCTCAATCTCACTCAGAATCTCAGGTGTCCCGGAAACGATGTTGCCACGCTCAGTCTTCAGCCTTGACAGTTGGCTCTTTCAGACAGATCTCTGGCAAAGACTTTGGAGCCCTGGTTCCGCTCGATCGCTTCTTTAATACGAGCAGTATTAAAGATGCGTAAGTATCGCCGCATGCATTTGGAGATCTGTCTGTTCAGTTGCCTGTATGCTGTCAAATCTGTTGACGATTGCAGCCTCATCTTCCGTCTAACAGCCATGAGATTAAGAGTGTGATCGGAGAGTTTTTGTGTTCTTCTGCGGCGGATCTTGCAGAACTTAGCTCCGACCGCATGGACAGTTTCCACGAGCTTGTCATTCATATCGTCCACTGCATTGCAATCCTCTAGGCACTGAAAGCGGTTTTGTAACTCGAGCTGAAAGGTTTCGGGATTGTGCGTAAACCTGTATGACCTTCAGCGAATACCGTTTGGTGATTCTGAGTATCAGGTACGCGATCCTCGTCGACACACTCCCAATCTTTACAAGATTGTTGACGAGAGACTTGGGGACGATAAATCCGACACCTCCTTGGGACAGATGGTCGCCCTCCCGGTGGTAGAACAAGTTGCCGGACTCGAGGATTGCCGTATCCTCCCCCTCTCTTCGGACCTCGGATAATCCAATAATATGCCAGCGCAACTTGTCTACCTCTTCTTCCAGCTCCAGTATCTTCTCGTCAGTCCTCAGAGTGCGTGCGTTATATGTTGCCAGGTCGAGTCGTCGTAGGTGGCAACCGAACCTCCACCGGAGATTCTTAGCACCCCCTGCCCCGCCGTTACCATGGTCGCCACCGTAGCCAGGAATAGCGGGGCTGCCGGGGACTGGGGGCCGTTTTTTGCGTCGTTATTCATGGGGGGATATTTGCCATAGTTGCCACGCTTGGCGAGCGGGTTGGCAACCGCAGTTTTTTATTATAAAACAGTTGTTATCAGGAAGATGCTGCTGCCCATCTCCTGCCTGTCTCCCTCTGTCGCCTCTTACGACACCCACGGGAAGATATGGGGTAGTGGATATTCTCAACCGCCACTACACGGCTCTCTATCTACCCAAGTACCTCTTAATTACTAAATCCAAATCTGTCTTAGTTTTTCCTAACCATGTACTTATTGACCATATTTTTCTGCTATCACCATTGCAATCTTTTATTTGTTTTTGCCTGTACTTGTTTTTGGCATCATTTATAATTTTATTTACTCTATTTCTAAATCTCGTGTATACTAAACGCTTATTCATATTTTTTGGCGATGCTTTCCACGCTCTAAATAAAGAATCCCTTTTTAATATTAAATTGATCAACTTACCATCTACCCATGGTTGTGTTAATCGTTTACTGCTTTCTACAATATTAACCTTACTTTTATTATAAATATTTTCAAACACCAAACGTAACTTATCATACAATAACATTGGGAAAGATAAATTTAAAAGCGGGACCAATCATAATTATCCAACTTTACCCTACACAATTTATCACTAATCACTTGTTTACATTTATTTACCGTTTTTACCACATTCAACTCACTTTGCGATCCTAAGACACCTAATGTAATGCCAACAATATGATGATTAGATACATGACATTCGATTACATAGGCAACAGATGTAGTGTCAGCCGATTTCGCTCGCACCCACACATGGTCATTGCATGACCGCTCGTGCCGACCGTCGACTACCGCTTCTCGTGTTATCTCTGAACTTGGCACTGCACATTGTAGGCTGTGTAACACAAAGTTAGATTATATTTTGAAATAATTTGATTACACTTGTTATTATAAGTATCAATATTTGTCTCCTATGACAATAATATCATCTTGAGGCGATATTCTTTCCTTTATTATTGTATTTAGGCACTCAATAAAACCATATTTATTTTTAGCGGGTGGTCTATATATGCAAAGAATATGAAAACTCCTTTTTTCGATCGTTAAATTTCCATGAATTATTTCTGCCATGTGGGTGTTGATTGTTTGTGAAGAAAAGTTTAGTTGTTCCTTTATAAAAATAAGTAGCCCTCCTCCTCTTGAAGTTTCTCTTGTGTTAGCATGGGGTATGTATCCATTTATATTATAAAGACCTAGTTCTTCTCTCTTTATATTTATGTCACTTAGTACTATCATATGTATTTTATATTTGATATGCTCTAACAAGACCAGCAATTCATTAAAATGTGTTCTTAAGGAGCGTATATTTAGATGCAATATATGTATTCCATTTGCACGTTGAGATTCATCCCATTGTACCAGGTCCTTATATTTTACAAAATCGATTTCGGTAGGTAATTGTTGTATAGGTGAGAATTTTAAGTATCGAACGTAACGCGGTGTGTACGCGCGGCCTTAGCACAGGCCTCGGAAACTTTATTCATTGCTCGGTAGCGTTTTGTTAATATCACTTTCAGAACTTATTTTGAATATTTTCTCATTGTCGTTTCTTTTAACGAGTATGTTCGAATTCTGAATCCAAATACATTTGAAATAAGATTTTAGTTGACTTTTTACTTCCCAAAAAAGCTGATGCTTATAGCTTGGCAAATCTTCATTTATATATATTAACTGGTCGCTATTATTTCCGAGAATTTGCACATTAGAAATAAGCACTTTTCGAGGCGAAATCCATTGATCACGGGCATTCTTTGTGCGTAAAGTAACAATAATCGGTTGTGCCTTCTTCTGGTTCGGTTTTTCTCTACCTACCCTCCTCGCATCTTCTATATCCTCCTGGCATAATTTTAATATTTGAGACACTTTTTTCACTATTTCTAAAGTATTTTCGTTCTCCTTTCTCTCTATTCCTATTATCCCAATCTTTTTCTCTTTTTCTTTTAATTCTAGATTTTGTAGCCTTTCTTCCAAAGCCTTATTATATTTTTCAAGGTAAACATTTTTTTGCTCAAGCGCTTTCATCTTCTTCTGTGCTGTTTCTTTGAACTCCACCATTTCTTGATATTTTTCAGAATAAAAATCAATGAGTTCCAAAGCATTGTCCAACTTGGCTTCTATTTTATAAATCACTTGCAACTTTTTATTAACTTCTTCTAAAATGGATTCTGTAGATACCTGTTTAAGATCCAAATTTAATGTTTGCGAAGGTGGAATGTCTTCATTTTTCTTGGAACATATTTCACACCTCTCTTTCTTAAGCAGTTGTTTTGATGCACACTTCTTGTGATAGACACTATCACAACTCCCCAAACACTTAATGACTTCATCTTTCGTCAGTGAAAGAAACAACTTACACTTTTTACATTGCGCCATTTTGTTTTACAAATTTCGTATTATAGGTAGGTACAAATGACACACGCCCTCACGCTGAGTGCGCTTGCGCGAGAATGAATGTCAAAAGTCAATATGAAGTCACATTATAAGTTTATCGAACATTCCAAGTAGTTATCCAATTTTATCAACGTGACATGGTCATAATGATTTTTCGCTGTGACTTCTTGGTAACTGGAACAATGGTCATGCTAATTTAAAAATAACACTTTTTGCCCAGTCTAGTCGCCTCTTACGACACCCATGGGATGGTATGGACGTTCATACACCGCCACTACACAGTAATTGATAACTTTTCAAAACACTTTATTTATCAACCACATCTTGCAATAGTCAATTCTCTAGCGCTCGCTTGACCTTCGTACAAAAAATTCGATAATTTAATTCTTGATAATTTTTTTGGATAAGAACCATCGATCACTAATAAAGAATATTAGTGATCGATGATAAGAACATTGTAAAACTAATTGGCAAAATGACTATGTTATATTTACCTTTATTTAAAAAAATGTCCTTCTGACCGTAGGCCTGACTAAGTTGGTCCAATAAAATGTCAGGGACATGAGGAGGTTGCAGCATACAATTGTTGTGAATTACTGCATACTGTGTACAGACGAAGCTAATAACTAATGAATGTTATTAACTAATGCATTTATAAGCTGTAAAGGTTCTGAGATGTATATTTACCTAAGTAGTAAAATTGTGGTTACAGGTGTACACAGGGGCGGGTATAAGTACTGCTGCAGATATTCCTGACTACCGTGGCCCTCATGGCGTCTGGACACGTCTGCAACGCGGCGAAACTGTCGGGTGAGTGCTTTAACCAAATTATACTAAACATGTCATAAAAACCAATTTAAAAAATTGTGTAATTGAACATACAGAAACAGTAACATTTTTATTCAATATAGATTATAAATAATACTTATTGAAAGTCACTTTTTTTAATTTACCACTGGTTTGAAAAAGAATAAGCCAGAAACCCAGCGGGACTTTAAAAAAAATAACAGCTTACAATCATGTATGTTACAATCAACAACACAAAACAAATTAGAAATGACCAAGACATAGAAAAAAACCAAGCTGGTAGCTATCACCTTTCCCAGAGGTTATAATCATCCATAAATTCTTTGATTTTATAATAACTCTTTTATACAAACTTAGTTTAATAAAGTTTTTGAACTTTGTACAATAAATTTTGTATATTTTTTGAGATTTTGTTGTAAAAGCGTATACATCGCCCCAAGAATGAATTACTGACTTGTTGTAGTTAACTGGTATAATAGCTTGTGCCTGTTCTTACTATTTACAGATTGAATATCACTAATTTTCGTAAAACTACTTTTATTTTTTTACTTATTCTTTTTACCAAAGACAGTCTTGGTGTTCACATCTAGAATTAATGGAAACTCGGCTCAGGAAACCTATTTGGATATTTAAGTCTCTACGACATGACTCCACGAAGTCTTTACTTAATAAAATATACATAGCTCTGGCTCAGTCAACATTGGGCTACTGTATTCCTATATGGGGTGATGCAGCAAAACCAGGTTCCTTGAGCTTGAAAGGGCTCAAAGATGTTTAATTAAAGTTATGTACATAAAGCCCTATAGATTCTCTACAACTGAACTTTATGAATTGAGTAATTTACTTTCGGTAAGAAAACTTTACATTTTAGCTACAATTTTAAAACTTAATAGTTCCCTAAATTACCATTTATGGTCAAACACCAGACTTAGAAAATATACAATACCCTACCAAGATTCATTTAAGACTAAGTTTGCATCAAGACAGTATTATTGATGTTCAATTTACTTATATAATAAAATAAACCAAAAAATCTATATTTATCCTATGAATTACCGTGACTATAAAAAAAAACCATAACAGACTGGTTAAGAAAACTTTCCTATGAACATACTGTCTTATGAATTTTCACACTCATTAATTTCTGTATATATTACTCTACTCTATGTACAGACTTCTCACGCTTATCCATACACACCATTTTTGCACACTATCACGCAAATATCGCTAATTATACCTTAGTTAAAGTAAAGTAAAGTTACAGCCTATATACGTCCCACTGCTGGGCACAGGCCTCCCCTCATTTCTGAGAGGGTTTTAGGGCAAGGAAGTGTCCGCCGCGCTGCCCCAATGCGTGTTGACGAACTTCACATGTCATCGAAATATTTTTTTCTTATTCCTCAGACATGCAGGTTTCCTCACGATGTTTTCCTTCACCGCCTTATACCTTACTTGCAGTTTAAATTGTTTAGCTTTAGATTTATTTATGTTTTTCGTTTATTTATTTAATTAATTCTAATTTAAAGTAGTAATATAATTGTAATAAGGAAGAGCTCCCTCTACTACAGGTATCTACCTAAAAGAGGGTACCCAACAATATTGTAACAACTTACTACTTGTTTTAAAGTAATAAATTATCATTATCATTAGTGTTAATATATTTGATATTCCGTGTTTTGAATTTCATACATTTAGTTTTAGTGCCATTTAAAACAAAATATTTTACAATATCTTTTGATGATACTATATGAAATATAAAATTCTTTGTACACGCTTTTACATTTTGTTTAAGTATTGATTCACCGACGGCAGGAGAATTCAGTAACTTAGAATATTTCTCAAAGACCGCCTAATCTGATTTAGTTAATTTGTTGTTGAAACTTAACTGGTAGTTTGAATTGCGAGAATTAACCTTATCAGTTTCACTATGAATTATACTCCATGTCATTTTAATTTTATTAGAAGCCGTCTTTATTTTCTTGTTCAAATACAAGGACTTGGCTATGGAGCACATTCTTAAATATTTTTGAATACATATTTTATTACATGTTCCATAAATTTGACCCTAGGATTATGTGACATTTCATGGTAAAGTTCATATAACTTTTGTCTGCTCTTATGGACTCCTACTGTCGCCCATTTATTGAATGCTTTACGATTGTTCAAGGATAATGTTTTGAAGTAAAAGTGTTTTCAAATTCAATGCAAATAAGCTCAAATTATGATCCATACAAAAAATGTAGGTTATTTTGGTATGAAAGTGATGGAAGTTTTTTTACCTTTAATCTTCTCCAAGTGAACCAATACCTAAGAACTGTTAGATCAGTAACTAGGCAACATAGAGTTGTGAGATATGGCGGCTGTAGGCAGCATGTGGCGTGCTTTGCAGGCGCGTGGAGGTGTCGCATGCGCGGCCGACGCTGACGCACATGGCGCTGTCGGCGCTGTGGGCGCGCGGCGCGCTCAAGTTCGTGGTATCGCAGAACTGCGACGGGCTGCACGTACGCGCCGGCCTGCCGCGCCGCGCGCTGGCCGAACTGCATGGCGACATGTTCTGCGAGCGCTGCGCGCGCTGCGGCCGCGTGCTGATGCGCGCCTTCGACACCACCGAGCGCACGCGGCGCCACGCGCACGCCACGCGCCGCCTGTGCCCCGCCTGCGGCCACGAGCTGCGCGACTCCATCGTGCACTTCGGCGAGCGCGGCCGCGCCGCCTGGCCGCTCAACTGGGCTGGCGCGCTGCGTCACGCGGCCGCCGCGGATGTCGTGCTGTGCCTCGGCTCCAGCCTTAAGGTACGTGCTGTACGCGCTGCACTGCGCACCGCCCGTGCGCCGCCTTACCGCTCAACTGGGCCCGCGTGCTGCATCACGCAGACCTCGTGCTGTGCCTCGGCTCCAGCTTCAACGTACGCGGCTCCAGTCTCAAGGTACGCGCTGAACCGCATTACACTACACATTGCGTGCTACTTGTACTGAACGCACTACATTACACATTATTGCACGTACTACACGCCCATGGGCACTACCACGTCCATTACACATGCACAACAACACGATCGCCAAATCAATCCTCTGGCTAACCTAACATACACAAGGTGCGTGAAGGTAAGAACTTCCTTCCTTCTCTGTTGCATGTACTTTTTTCAGCACGAATTAAGTGTACCACATTTTCTACACAAAAAGTACCTTTATATTAATAGGTTTTGTTTATTATTATGAGGTAATGGATCTGAATAAAAATGTAATTGATAAAGAATCTTATTCAATAACATGCCTTTCATATTATGTTCTTTTACGTGGCCATGCTGCAGCTATATTGGTACTATAGTTGCGGCACGAATGGGTCGGCTCCACTGGGGAAGGACCACGTTTTGATAGAATAGTATTTAAAAAAAGTAGTTTAATGCTATTGTGTTTTGTATGGTGTGTGTAGAGAACCAGAGATCCTTTTTACTGGAAAAGAGGCATGCCATCTTAGTCCTTACGGGTGATAACGTATCTGCCGTGGAGGTTAGAGAACACGAGAACGATCGCTGTAGAAAATAGTGTCCCAGAAATATGGACAAAATAAGTGTGGCGCTGCGATCTCTAAGTTGTCTCAATAAAAGCGGGCTGTTGTGCGCTAGTTTGAAATGATTGTAATATCATTCAAAGAAAAAAAAAGAAAATAACGAAAATATTATTATTTATTAATAAATAAATTATAAATTATGTTTTTATAATTTTAATTATTATAAATATTATGAATTATTACAAATATAGATTATTAATTTTTATTGATTTACTATTATATTTTTTTAATATTATTTCATTCATAATATTTATTTCTAAATTACTTCGCAGATACTACTATAATTTCTACAAATGTTCAGGGACAGGCAGGCTATGCTTTAGCACGTAGCGATCGTTCTCCTGTTCTCTAACCTCCATGGTATCTGCATTTTGATTCGTGATTGAGATTTGATGTAGTTGTCTATGGGCTGCGGCAACTACTTATCATTAGGTAGGCTGTGTGGTCGCTTGTCACCTTTAAGACGAGGTCTTAGCACGATTTCAAATTCGTTTTTCACCCGCGCGTCCCGCAGTGGGCGGAGCGCAACCGGCTGTCGGAGAGCGCCGCGTGAACACAGTTGCGCAAAGCAAGCAGACAATTCACCTCCAAACAAAAACTTTTCCGTGAGGTCTACTGTTCTCAACACTACTACTAGGTATTATAGTAATAATATTTTGAGTACCTACTCGCTAATATCAAAACTGTTTACAATATCGGTAGTCTGGACATCATACTAAATTTTAATTGTCAATATTTTTTTAAAGTCAGTTTTATGATATGAGCAGGTACTTAGATTATTATTTATTATTTACGTACATAAACATTTAAAACGCCAACTCACAAATTCTAAAAAAACCCAAGTTTCGTTGGCAAAATAGCTAAAATAAGAGAAAAAGAATAGTTTCAAATAAAACCATTAGAAAATTCAAATTTATTTTACTGTTTTCTATTACCTTACCTCCGGACTTGATGGAGTGACCTGAAGGTGTACTTTGGTAATCGGTATTGGAACTGGTCGCTGAGTACTACTAGGTGTGCCGAGTTTGGACTCGTTTTGTTAGGTATGATGAGTCCTTACCTTCGGACTTGATGGAGTGACCTGAAGGTATACTTTGCTAATCGGTATTGGAACTGGTCGCTGAGTACTACTAGATGTGTGGAGGTTGGGCTCTTTTTGTTAGGTATGATGAGTCCTTACCTCCGGACTTGACGGAGTGACCTGAAGGTGTACTTTGGTAATCGGTATTGGAACTGGTCGCTGAGTACTACTAGATGTGTGGAGGTTGGGCTCTTTTTGTTAGGTATGATGAGTCCTTACCTCCGGACTTGACGGAGTGACCTGAAGGTGTACTTTGCTAATCGGTATTGGAACTGGTCGCTGAGCAGGGTTGGGCCGTTAGGTATGAAGTCCTTACCTCCGGACTTGGAGTGACCTGAATGACTTTGCTAATCGGTATTGGAACTGGTCGCTGAGTACTACTAGATGTGTGGAGGTTGGGCTCTTTTTGTTAGGTATGATGAGTCCTTACCTCCGGACTTGACGGAGTGACCTGAAGGTGTACTTTGGTAATCGGTATTGGAACTGGTCGCTGAGTACTACTAGGTGTGTGGAGGTTGGGCTCGTTTTGTTAGGTATGATGAGTCCTTACCTCCGGACTTGACGGAGTGACCTGAAGGTGTACTTTGGTAATCGGCATTGGAACTGGTCGCCGAGTACTACTAGGTGTGCCGAGTTTGGGCTCGTTTTGTGAGGTATGATGAGTCCTTACCTTCGGACTTGACGGAGTGACCTGAAGGTATACTTTGCTAATCGCTATTGGAACTGGTCTCCGAGTACTACTAGGTGTGCGCTTGCCGGTAACGTTGGGCGTGTTGAAGAATACCTAACAAAATGAGCCCAAACTCGGCACACCTAGTAGTACTCGGCAACCAGTTCCAACAGCGATTACCAAAGTACACCTTCAGGTCACTCCGTCAAGTCCGGAGGTAAGGACTCATCGTACCTAACAAAACGAGCCCTAACACGGCACACCTAGTAGTACTCGGCAACCAGTTCCAATAGCGATTACCAAAGTACACCTTCAGGTCACTCCGTCAAGTCCGGAAATAAGGACTCATCGTACCTAACAAAACGAGCCCTAACACGGCACACCTAGTAGTACTCGGCGACCAGTTCCAATAGCGATTACCAAAGTACACCTTCAGGTCACTCCGTCAAGTCCGGAAATAAGGACTCATCGTACCTAACAAAACGAGCCCTAACACGGCACACCTAGTAGTACTCGGCAACCAGTTCCAATAGCGATTACCAAAGTACACCTTCAGGTCACTCCTTCAAGTCCGTCGGTAAGGACTCATCATACCTAACAAAACGAGCCCTAACTCGGCACACCTGGTAGTACTCGGCGACCAGTTCCAATAGCGATTACCAAAGTACACCTTCAGGTCACTCCTTCAAGTCCGTCGGTAAGGACTCATCATACCTAACAAAACGAGCCCTAACTCGGCACACCTGGTAGTACTCAGCGACCAGTTCCAATAACGATTACCAAAGTACACCTTCAGGTCACTCCTTCAAGTCCGTCGGTAAGGACTCATCATACCTAACAAAACGAGCCCAAACTCGGCACACCTAGTTCTACTAGTCAAGGTGTTCCAGTATTAGTTACTGAAGTTCACTTTCAGGTCACTCCACTAAGTCCGGAGATAAGGTCTTATCATAACTGACAAAACCAGCCCAAAGTCCACAGCTAACTTCTCAGTGCCAGCAGAGGGCTCCCAGTGCAAAGCAGTTTCTAGAGTAGGTATTCGTATTTCGTAACTAAGTCTAATTACTCTATGTATCTAAGTATATTTTTGAGGTGTAAGTAATCAAAAACAAATTCGATCTTTCAAATTATCAAAATAATTTTATTTGACTCCGATTCCCGCAGCCAACCGTGCGTACACTTGTGTGCGTGACTCATGTCAAAGTAATAGTTCGATTCTATACCTATACCAATTTTGTAAAGGCGTCCTTAAAAAATCTTAACGTGAATACTGCGGCAAAAAGAGCGACACGACTCTACAGCACCAGGCCTCGGCCGGCAGTGACTGCACGGGCGTTTACGCAAACATCCGTACGTATTATTTCAGAAATAAGAATATGCGATTTAAAAAAAAAACTAACAGTTGGACTAAAAAATTAAAACACTATATATAACGTTAATATGTTGAATGTGTAAAAATCTGACAAAAAATCAGAATGATTGCATGTATACTAGTATGGTTTTTACTAGTTAAAGGAAATTTTTAGAGGTATGTTTGTGATTTTTTTCTATCGTATTAAATTAGTGATATCATGTTTTCAACACACTATCTAACTAGCATATATCCTGGACAATATCACATATTTTTCTGAGTTTGTTTACTGCAGTGGATCATATACTTTGAGGCATTATAAAACTTGCGTTTAGGCTCATGCCTCGTCTTAACTTATAGAAAAGATTATTGAAAAATATTTAATGATTATCGTTTAAAAAGAATGAGAATTCAAATGTTAGATATTTGCTGGCAATTATTCCTTAATTACAGGCTATCAAAAGTTTACTGCAAACGCAATAAGTATACCCTGTAGATTACCTCATAAGGGGAAATTTAGCACAGTTGTTTTGGCTATCACGCTACGTTTTTGAGGACAATAAAGAATTTTATGTTGTTGGAATTGTTTAAATTGGGAGAGTGTAGATGTTTATATGTGTGGTGACGGTGGTGATGAACGGCGTGCGGTGCGCAGGTGCTGCGGCGTTACCCGCACCTGTGGCAGATGCAGCGCGCGCCGCACGCGCGGCCGGCGCTGTACATCGTGAACCTGCAGTGGACGCCCAAGGACGCGGCGGCCGCGCTCAAGATCAACGCGCGCTGCGACGCGGTGATGGCGGCCGTGGCGCGGCGCCTGCGCCTGCGCGTGCCGCGCTACGCCGCGCGCCGCGACCCGCTGCTGGCGCACGCCGTGCCGCTGGCGCCCGCCGAGCGCCACACCGCGCGCGCGCCGTCGCTGCCGCCGCCCGACCTCTCCGACTCGGACGACGAGCGCTGCTACTCGCTGGGCGAGCCGTCCGCCTCCTCCGCCTCGTCCGACTCCGACCCGGACCCGGACGACGAGCTGCCGCTGCGCCGCCTCGCGGACCGCCTTCGTGCGCCCCCGCCCCCACCCCCATCGCCGCCCGACATGCCCAACCATTTCAAGGCCTTCCAGGTGAGACAGGTTTAAAAACACATCATATCCAAATACACTCCTTATTACTGTCCTTGCACTCAGTTAACGAAATTTCGAAACGAACTTTTTCACATATTTTCATTATTTTCTTATATTTTTTTATTACTTATTGTAATTTTTTTATTTTTGCATTATAATTGGTGGAATATAATGAAAACAATTAAAAAATTACTCCAGTTATGGAAAAACGGTATTGACATATTATACAAAGAAAAATAAATCATATAAGACGAATGTTGACTATGAAAGTGGATAAAACTAAACGGAGATCTAAGAAAAAATAAATGGACTGTCTTAGAAATGATATGCGCAAGAAATGAATGAATATTGTAGTAAGAAGGAAAAATTAAAGAAGACAAAATTACTTGGAATAAAGGCATGAAGAAGATAGATAATAGAAATAATTCCGTCAATTTCACATTCAGTCAAAGAATTAGTATCTCAGCGGAAAAAACAAAAAGTTTCACTATGATAACAATAAACAGCTAATTATCAAAAAGCAAAATCATCGACATCCAGTTCATTCCAACCGCGTACCAAGTTCTAAAGTCTAAAGGAATACAGAACTAACACCGTTAATTTTCATTGGCAGGCGGTACACAGGAGTATACTTAAATACATGTTACTTACATAATAAGCGTACACAAATATGTTTAAAGTTTTATTCCTTTTCCCTCTCTTCTACTTTGCAACATTTAACTAATTCACACTATCTTAAATTGTTTCGACCACTAACAATGAAAATAAAAGTAATACGAAATTCTTAATGCTCACTAATAAGAGCTTAAGAAGGATCTCTCGCTTCACGTCTAACAGCCAGATTGACAATAACAGTACTAAACGTCTTTCATCTTTAACACTGCTGTCTTTCACGGATGTGAGTATTGTACACCCGATGTAAATGAGATTATTACACCCCCATCTATCAGAAGCTGTTAGTTTTTTTAATCATATCTCATTGTAACCTTTTATGAAACTCAATAGGGTGATTGATTCACTTACGTCAGCTTTTTAATTTTGTTTAGCTATCACAGTACGAATTCTTCGACCGTTAATATCTAAAGTGTTTTTGAAAAATGTTCTACAAACACGGATACTTGAACCAGCTTTCTTTAAATAAAACTCGTGGTTATTGTCTGCGACTGTTGTTATGCCTCCAACACGGATGCCGACATCGATAACGACATCGCGGCTGAACAATGTGCATACAGCTAGAAATGAACTATCGCTATAATTCCACATCACCTGATTCCCAAAACTAATTAAATATAACACTTCGATCATTTTCGTTAAACGTCTGAGGACACTGCAGTTTCAATTTTTCTGAGCACCCTAGTTTTAATTTCTTTTCTGGGCTATTAGATAATATCGTCGCTAACTTATTGGCGTGAACTGCACCTGATCGCATAGAAGTAGATTCGTTGTCACTGGAACGACTACTTTCTGTATTTGGGATGTAATCTCGATCTTTATCCGAATCGTCGCAATCTTCTTCTGGATCGAAAAGTGGTTTTGAATATCTAGAATGAAAGAAAGTGTTTCGTAAAAACGACAAACTCTTGTAAGATTATATTAGTTATCGTTATGTAATGGTGGCGTAAGAAAAACTACTATAGTATGTGCCAATCGATTGAGACAACGGCACATTTTATATGTAGTACTTTATTTATAATGATTTTTTATATTTTTTTTTATAATTATTGATATAATATATATTTATTAACTATTATTAAAAAGTTATGTCGCTATAGAAGAAAAATCATCTATTGTTATAAAGTAATATATTCATTTATTTATTATATGGGCAACAAAACAGATAATTAAAATATATTAAAAATTATATATATATATATATATATATATATATATATATATATATATATATATATATATATATATATATGTAATATAACAGTTTTGTGCCAGATTGTTTTCCAAGTATGTTGACACATCATTTTCATATTTTACTACAGGGGCAGGGGAGATCAAATCTACGCTATATTGTTAATATAGCGTAGATTTGATCTATAATATTGTTACATTAACAATATTAATGCCGTACATTACTACGTAATACAAAAAAACAAATTTTACAAACAACAAATGTATAATCTATGTGATATGGGAGTGAGTGTGTATGACTGTAAGCTCTTTTACTGCTCTTTTGAATATCCTTGATCTTGGGTCAAAAATATCCAAGCCGGAGTCTTTCATGGATATCTCATTGTAAAGTCGACACATTCTTATTATCGGGTTGTAAAAAGACGTATTATTCTTGTAAGTTTGCAGGTAAAATGGCTTGCTAGGAATTCGGGGTTTGCGTTTTGTAATTAAGTTTAATTTACTTAAGAGGTAACCGGAATCATACTCATTATGGAGAATTTTATGTAAATATATAAGGTCATATTCCTTACGGCGAATAATAAAAATAAGTATTCTAAGGGTTCTTTTTTGGACGCTTTCTATACTATCCAAATGCCGTGTAGCGACCAAATAACACAAGCATATTGTAGAATACTACGGACAAGGCTATTATAAACGGTCAGGAAGCTTTGAGGTTGTTTGAAGTCCTCAGTGCATCTCGTTATGAAACCTAGTAACTGGAATGCTTTGTTTTTAATGTGGGCATAGTGCTCACGACATGTTAATTTAGAGTCAAACAGCACACCCAGATCTTTTGCTACCGTTTTTCTGTCTAATGAATCTTCATTAATTTTATTGTCATATGTCTGTTTATATCTCTTATTTGTAAACGTTATAATAAAACACTGTTTAATACTGAGATGCATATCGTTAAGCCGGCACCATTCGGATATTGAATCAATATTATCTTGTAGCTTAACACAAACGGATAAATCCTGTATTCGGTACGGATGTGAATCTATTCGAGTAAAAGGCTCAGTAGATGTTACGAGCACTTTCTCAGTTGTTGACAAGACGAGATCAAGAAGGCGGCTATTCACATTATAGACTGAATTAAGTTGAACTAGGTTACAAAGATTCATAATATCAACAAGACAATTAGATTTAAAGTCGGATGAAATACCAGGTGTCATAACGTTACTATAAGTGCTAGGGGACCAACTCAGATGTGTGTTAAAATCGTTAATAAGTAAAAATGTGTCTTTATCCCCAACACGAGATACGTTTTTATGAACATTGTCGTAAAAGGCTTGCAAGTGGTCGCGAGAAATATCGGGAGGGAGATAACATAAACATAAGTGGAGCTTTCGACAGAAAAAAATTGGTCGGAAGGATAGTCACCCAAAGATCTTCAACTTCACATTCCCAACTCGTTTGTCTAATTACATGATACTTGTCCTTAACAGCAATTAATACACCACCGCCATCATGCTTAGAAATACAACTTGTGTAACGGTCTCTTCTGAATACAGTACATTGGGAATCAAAAATTTCGGAATCAAATACACTGTTTGTATTTTTAACATGTATGGCAGTTGAATTATCATCTTTTCTCATATAAACACGGCCATACTTAAACTAGACATATTTATATGACAAGTGCTTGGCCGTAATCTTGCTGCGGCATGAAGCTGTTTTATTTCTGGTGAAAGGTGTTCTGAAACATAAACGATGCACTCCTCTCCATGTATGCCCAAATGAGTAGAGTTCAATTGGGTAGATTTATTGTTCTTGCTGTAACGTTTGTAAGCAGATATCACGTTATCTCGGTCGCGCTCCGACGGTAAAGTTACGAGTATTCCACGCGGTCTTTTTGAATTTTTATCAATTTTTGCAACTCGCCTTACAGCTTTAATGTTAGTCTCACTAAATGACATTTTTATTTCTGTTAACAGTTTACACACAATGGAAACCAAATTTTCGTTTTTCTTTTCTGGTACACACTGTATTTCAAAATTACAACCACTAGAAATTTTTTCTAATGTGGAGATACGACTGTTTAATTAGTTTATCTGCGATTCTAGTGTGGTTTTTTCCGTTTCCATTTTAGCGATATTTTTTGTTGCAATATCTAATTTTGTTTGCATATCACATTGAAGTGCGGTGAAGTGGTCAGTCGTCTCAGTGAACTATGCCTTAAGTTTACATATAGCGCAGTTGATATCCTCCCTAATTGCAGACCTCATATCCGACAATTTTAAGTCCAAGAGTGCGCTAAACTGATAATATTGTTACGAGCTTGAGGTTCGTGACAATAAAAATTGCCGATAGAATTACCTAAATTAACACTTTAATTCACTTTACACTAATTAAAGTTAAAAACACTAATAATTAATCACACTGATTCACTTTATTCCGCTCCGAAGCTTCGCTTGGCTCGCCAACTTCAATACTTCCCCGATCGCATCTTGCAGCGCCTATTTATATAAATTAGCAGCGAAATATCCAGAATATTCAAGTAAACACGCGCAAGGTACCGAGAGTTCGTGTTTCGACTTCAAGAAGTATAGTTCTTCGGTTCGAGACTAGATGGCGCTAGTGCCGTCGACTTGAGCGCGTAACACTGCCCCCTCCTAAGACATGCTCGTCCCGAGCATTATCGGCCCCATAATAACGCGCCAGGCGATCCACATGGACGATCTTAGGAGTCCCTCTTGCGCTTTTCTGTATCCGGTAGGTTACATCGTTGATCTTGGTAACAATCCGGTACGGGCCGTCCCATTTAGCTTGAAGCTTAGGAGATTTCCCTTTGCTGCGGACTGGATTGTGCAACCACACAAGTGAACCTTCGTCGAACCCTTTGTTGTTCATTTTGCGGTCGTACCGGGTTTTCATCTTTTCAGACATTTGCTGGCCCGATTGTCTGACGTGCTCATAAACGTCATTCATTTTGTTCCGCAAGTCATTTGCATAATCGGTTATACTACGTGGAGCATCAGGTAGTATCCCGGTGATCAGGTCTGCAGGCAGCCGTAATTCTCTTCCAAAGTTTGCGAAAGCTGGTGTCACTGCTGTACTTTCGTGAACAGCGCTTCGGTATGACAACAAAAACAGTTGTATGTGCTTGTCCC